GTACTGAGAAGGTTCAGACTTCAAGCCTGTAACAATTTGGGAAGTAGGCAGAGGGACACACACAGCATTGCAAGAGAACCTGGTTTGCCAGGCTGGCTTATCTGCAGGATAATTAAAAATACAGTGTTACCCACCTTTTTCATTATTGCCTGGGGTGAGAGCATTCACCAGGGTAGCAGGAGAACAATGTTCTTGTCCAGCCCTACCCTCGGGAAGGGATTTTGACTCCATCTCTCTTTCCTGAGGAAAGCGCCAAACCATAGGCCGTGCTTGGATGGGCACACTCTGTATCTTTCTTATCTTGTCAGTCTGTGCAGCAAAGAATGAAGGGATTTATAGGGGTGGAGAGCGAGCCTGCAAGGGGTGCAAGCCTGAGTAGTTCAGACAGTAATAAAGTCACTGTCTTAAGGGGGCTGGAGGGGGATTTCCCGTTTTCTGGTCTCTGCCACAAGAAGTACTTTTACATGAGTCATTAGATAAAAAGGCATAATAACACTGAGAACAGGGATTGGACTGCAGTAGACTATCCCACTCCCTCCGACTACACACTCAAGTTATTCATGTTACCATTAGAAATGTCAAAGCTATTAAGAAAAGTTGCTATGTATTTCAATGTGATGACACCCTAAAGGATTTTCAGCTTGGCAAAAATGCTGGCAGGGGAAATGTGGGCCCAAAAGGATTTTCTTGGCATAAATAAACAAATGATTACTATAATTTCCCTCCCCAACCCAGAAGAGGTTATTTTTAAATGTGGAAGTTGAACAGAAGTAAACCTGGGTTAACTTGGTTGTTCGAACTGTGTAGCCCAATGAAAGGGTTGTGTCAGCGACAGGTTGTTGGTAATCCACCTGCAAGGCCAAGTTGTACATGTGAGTATTAATAACTGCACTTCATGATTAATAACTGCGGTGATTATGTTATAATACTGATATGTTGATAATTATGAATAATACTGATAATAAGAAATAATCAAGTAAGAGCTGATGAGATTTTGATACACATGTAAGTACGTGAATTGTGTAGTCATTAAGAACTCACCTGCTGAGGGTACTAATCAATAGCTAATCAAAACAGTTGAGAAATGTTTGGAAATGAATATGTAGCGTGGCTAAAGGTGTATTTTAAAGGGTGGCTTAAGGGCTTCAAGCTTCTTGCAGAGTGACTGTACTATGCTCAGACACGTCATTTTTGACAGAGTGCTTTAATGATGTCAACAGGGCTGTGAGTACAGAAATGGATAATGAACAGCTAGCAAGGTTTTTTTCCTGGGTTTCTTGCATCTAGGGTAAAAGAGGGCTAACCTATGTCTCAGTCCCTGCTGGAACAAGCCAGCATATGCTGAAAGCATCCTTTGGAAATGGTAGAATTACTTGGCGTACTGCCTTCTGCCAGATGATGCTACTTAATTTTAGTGTGTCATGCATGAAACCAACCTCAGCAATTACAAAATCTCATGGTAATATCCAGGGCTGAGCAAGAGAGACAGAAGGAGCCTACATGCCAGAATTTCTATGCTAAAGGGAGGAAGATCTGAATATTGCTCTCCTACTTCGTGACAAGAGACCATTTGGACACTAGCAATAGTCATGAGATCTCATTTGTGCAGGCTGGCACTAATCCATTCAATAGAAAACACATTGAAAAAGGCCCCTGGTAGAGGCAGTGGAAGAACCAGATCCTATTAGCAAGCTTACACTGCCTGCCTGCTATGTGCCTTCATACAGGGTGAAGTGGCAGCGCTAGGATCGGATGTCCTGTCCCGTGGAGATATGACGTCTGGCCTTGCCTTTGGCACACCCATCAGCTTTTTGCATTAGAAAAAAATGTAAAAATATAGTTTTTCTAAAGAGAAAGCATTGGGAGCAGGTAGTCCTTTGCTTTGTCAAGGTGAGTGGGACCTCCTTGTAAGACCATCTCAGACAGAGAGTGTTCAAAGCTGCGGTTTCCCAGGAAAGCATCCTTGTCCCCAGAATATCAGTCAGGACAACAGCTTTCTCACATCTCTGCTGCTAAAACTCATCCACTGTAAAAGAAAATCCAAGGTTGTGGGGAGCAGCAAGGTTATGGGGAGGAGTAATTTGACTCCAGGACTGTCTTATGTTGTTTGCGCTGTACTTCATTCTTGTTAAGTAAAAAGCATAAAACCCCATCATCACCCTTCAGCACATCTAGACCATGTCTGTCCTTGCTGACTGTCTCAAGCCTCGAGCTCTTTGCTCCTCCCTGACCAGCAGCGTGGGCTCAGCAGGCAGAGGAGCCCATCTGTGGAGGCAGCAGCAGGGGCCAGCCTTGTCCCGGCACGTGTGGGACCAGAGACAACAGGAGGAAATGCAGGACACAGGCAAAGCGGTTTACGAATTGATTTGTGTTGATTCACACACTTGAAATGCTGAAGCGCATTTCTTTACCCACACTCCAGCGGTAACGGATTCTGGACCTCTTTTCTGCCTTCAGCCACTTGCTGGTGTTTTGGGTGCAGCTACAGGGCACTGGTGCTTTAGGGCTGGAAGCTTTTTAACCTGAGCAACTTCAGTGACAAATGTGCGCTTGCTGTTACTGAACCTGGAGCACAGGTTGGTGTCTGCAAAGGCATCCCTCCTCTTTTCCCCTGTGCAACACCAGATATTCTGCTCTCCAGTTATGCAGTCCCATGGTATTACTGTATATCCGCAAAGGACTGTAGCTGTAGGCCTTGCAGGAGGGAGGTCTGCCACGGTCCAGTCAAGGCTTTTTCTGTCCTGGCTGTTTCTAGTTGTCTTTCAGCGGGCATGCATCCTTTGGCTCCCAGCCCCTTGCTCTCCTGCTTATCTGGTTCTCCCCCTTTTGCATTCTTCCTCTGCTCTGCTAGTATTCTGGCTCAGTTTTACTACTCCCTCCTCTTCCTCCAGTCTAAGCTCACTGTACACGCTCAGCAGCGTATGAACTAGTAGAGATTTCAGCTGGAGTTTGGGGGCACTCTTGGAAATGACCTTGTTGCTCCACCCTTGCCCTTTTCCTATCTTTCTATGTCAAAGTCTGAATCCTGCAGATCAACAGTGTTGCTACAATGCAGTAAGGCAAGAATTTTCCCTAGTTGTCCATAAATTAGCAGAAATACAGATTAAAAGCTAGCCTGGCATCTATGGCCATGGAGGCTCTACGGGCAAGTGTCCGGCACACCTGCAGCTGCAGGTACCTCCAAGAACCACATCCAATGGGGATGTGTGGCACTCCTCTTTCTTTAGAGGAAAACCCAAGCACTCTTAGCAGTGAGAAGGCTCAGTCCAGCAGGGTTACCAAGGTGGATTTTGTGCTACACCTAGAAGCTTTCAAAATTGTGTGCTAGCTTTGGCTAGCCCAGCCTGGCTTCGTCCAGCTGTGACAGGATTTTGCTCTAAATGATTTCACCTATTTCTGCAGCTATGGCATGTACTTTTATCTGGAAGCAAACTGTTTACTTATTTGCTTTTAATTATTTATGGTAATGAAATAGCACCCATATCTCAAAATTTTCCACAAAAATGAATACTCTTGTAGTTCAGATCTGTGGCCATGAAAGAAAACACAGTTCCCCACTGTTGCTTATAATGTTTATTTGTTTTTGACTTCAAAACACAGGTGATTTTCTCAAAACAAATACAGTAATGGGGGAAATGAAGGCGGGCTCTCTTTGTAACTTTCCCAAGAAACACATCTGGAAAAGCATACTTTTGCAAAACAACTACATTTTAGCACACCCAGACAGTGAGATTCCAAAAAGTCATAAATAGCAGTGAAGTTAGCAACCAATGTTGTTGGGGTTGTTTTCTTCTTTTTTTTTTTTTTTCCCCTTGTTTAATTTGCAAACGGCACTAAATGAACCCACAATTTCCATGGCTAATACAAAGACATTTTTACAGAAGTCTCTGAGCATGCAGTTAGTTTCCAAGATGGGGAATTACGAAGATATACCTCCTCATTTTGAATGTAAAATAAACTTGGTGGAATAATTGGATATTGTAACATCTGATAGTCTTGCTACTGATTTAAGCCTACCGCTTAGCTATTTAAATCACTATCCTTAATTGCTACTTAATTACATTTACCTAAAAGTCAATTTTTTACCCATAGGCAGGTACAAAAACTTTCTTTAGAAGCAGCAGTGAAGTGTTGGATTATATTTTGTAAATAGCTCTGATGGCACACTTCATCAGCACTCTTAAAACCTTAGTGTCATTTTTGGTTTCATTGCCTGTACAACATCTCCTGCTCCACCTTAATAGTCAGGTAGAAAAACAACCAGTTTGGAGAAGGATCAGTAAAATTAAAGGCCAGCTTTCCTGAATCTGAATGCTACAGCCAGGCCCTGCTCACTGGGAAGGTCAGGGAGGGTGGAAATAATTCTGCAGACCAACGAGGAAAAGTATGAAGCCACTGTTCAGACTACAGCGACCAGAAAATGCCAAGATCTACAAATCCTAGCATCCGCATAGACGCGCACAGAGTCAGGCACAGACGATCAGACACACGGCCATGTGCGCACACGGCCTGGGAGCCCCGCGGTGGGCACGCCTCGCTGCCCCGCAGGGAGCCCACGGCTTTGCCTACCAGCTCACAGCCATTGGAGCTGCAGCAGCTCCACAGAGCTACAATGATCCTCTATGGCTGGGACTGTTGAAGAGCAAAAAACGTATTTGGAAACTCAGTCGCCTAATTAATAAAATTTGGATAGGAACACACCAGTTATTTTTGCTAGCTAATGCCTGCTCTTCACAAGTCAATCTCTTTTCCTGCACGCATGTGAAAATCAAATGTTTCTGGCACTGGGTGTGCTGCCCACATTGTAACATGCTTCGTAGCTTTTTGTACCTACATAGAAGGAAAATATCGCTTTACGATCTGATTTGCTTGAGTTGTATAGTCATCAGTGCTCTAGCAAGAAAGAGATGGACTGGGAATTAGGAAATCACTCAAGTGCTGATCTGAAGAGGGTCTTCCTGAACACAAAGTGGGTGCATAATGTTAAGTGGCCACAAAACTTACAGTCTATCACATTCAATATCAGGGTTATTAGAAGGTGTGTCAAGAATACCAAAATACACTTCCCTGTTTACTGGAGGTGGGCTATTGGTTGGACTTCCCACCCCAGAATCAGGGCTTGGTGCAGGGTTCACTTCTGCTGCATACTTCTCTTCTTTCTGAGAAGGCTCTTGTTTTTGCTTGAGGTTTTTGAAACGTTTGAGCTTCACAGGGTCCTTGACTTCCTTGGCACAATGGAACAAGATGAAAATGTCCCTCCGGAATTTGGAGCTCATTCCAAAGTAGATAATGGGATTGTAGAAGCTGGCAGACTTAGCAAACAAACTGGCAAGGATGCTGGTAAGATTGGGTACAGGGTGACCATAGGCAGACCATATAGAGATGACAGCGTATGGTGACCACGCAATAATGAAGGCTGTGCAAATGACAATAGAAACCTAAAAGACAGAAGGAGAATAGTCTTAAATCTATTCTGGAAGACTACATCAGGGAAGCAATACACTGGGAATAGTAGCTTGGACCCTTGGCTGGAAGGGAAACATTCAGATTGTCCTGAGGGTATGGCTCACGGGAGAGTACGAGCAAGCAAAATGTTAGCTTTGATGGAGCCAAGCAGACCTAGAAGCTATATATCTAATTCTGGCATGGTGGTGTGCTTGAGCAATGTCTCATCTAATGGAATGAAAATAGCCGCAGTCCCCTGTATGTTTATATGAATTAAGAGGGTTTCGGGTAAACTTAAGTCAATGGTAAGTAAATTGAAAGCTCCACTGTAACTTCTGTGTATGCTCAGAAGTAATGTAACGTCTGAAAGAAAAGAGCATATGCCAAACCAAACTTTGGTTTTTTGTGTGGTATAACCCACTCCAATTCTATTTATATTATTTTTCACATGTGACGTAGCACCAATATTTTAGCCAACTGACAGGGTAGGAGTTTTAAACAATCCTCATATTCTTCACTGAGTTCAGACTCTGTCACTAGAGATTATAGAGAAATGAAATGTGACTGATTCCATTTGTTCTCTTCCGTTCTAGTTGGGTCAAATTTTTGGAAAGACAGATTTCATTGAGATAAATCCCACACAACATGAAACCCCAACTCACCCTGGTGACGTCCCGCTCCATTCTCCTCTGTCTGTCTGTGGGATCACCCAGTCCTGTTAACGCATGGCTTAGCTTGACAGTATTGATAATTGACACATATGAGAAGACCATGACTGTTACAGGTAGGAAAAAACAGCAGATAAAAATGGAGACAATGTAGGACTTGTAGATTGTAGAGAAGTTGGCTTTTGCCCAGTCTATCTCACATGTGCCATACATGCGATCTGCAAAGCAAAAATAAGTTGGTTAGCATTTTTAGAATATTTATCTGCTTTTGAGCAGTTAATTTATCAGTTCAAATGCTGTATTTTTCTTCTTTTAAGAACTAAAGAATGGATTGATCTTTCTGATTTAATAAGCTGTGACATAATTTCTTACGTAAACAATTTTTCAAGACCGGTTAGACTGTAACAAGTTTTAATGCGTATTATCATACTGTCCAGTTTAGATTTCCAGTATAAATCCAGAATAGGAAATTGTGATACTTTATTAGAAAATAAAATGGATACTCGTTCACTAGGTTTGATATTTTTGAGTGTTATCTACTCTTATTTGTCATGATCTTCTACATAGTAACTTCCTAAGATGAGCACTGTAACAGCATAACAAGTGATTGCAAAGAGACAATATGCCAAATGTAAAAAGTTACTACTTACAAAGAAAAGTAGGAAATAAAAATATTGGGTTTTTTTAATAGAAACAAAAAGGCAATGAAATTTTTACTGTAGTGAGAGCCATGAAAACAAATTGATACAGCTAATGATAAAGATTATGGGAAGATGAAAAATAAATACCTAGAAAGATACCAGACCTTTTGCTAAATGGGAAGCATACAGTTCTGCAACTACAAAGGAGCTGCAAGCTCTCAAAAATGAAGTTAGGCAGTTTGCAGGATCTGCAGCTAGTGGGATTTACAAAAGGACACTAGCCAATCAGGTACTTCAGGGAAAGGCAGTGGGAATAAAGTGTGGTCTCTGCTTAAACACTTCTATGGATAACGGTTGACTTCTTTGGACCCTCTGATGTGTTTGCAAATGTGTCCTGATATAAAACTTGAATTCAATAGCATTAGAGTTTTTCTATAGATTGTGAATTGTGGATTTTTCTTTTTAAGTGGAAAAAGCTTTTTTTTTTTTTTTTTTTTTTTTTTTCCCCTGGCAGCTACGGCAGCAAATTGAATTATAAATAAATGAAGCATGAACTAAAATTATGTAAGTCAAGTATTAACAAGTCCTGGAGATACAATACAGGTGAAGCCTGCATGATTTAGCAACAGATCTCTCCCTGACATCCAGTGATAATTCTGAAGAAGAAAAAAAAAAATCCCTTAATTCCTCACAGGTGATAGGTTTAGACAGGATGAATTAAAGGAGCAAAAGATTAAAATCTCTTTTATGATTCTCATCAAAAAGCACTCAGTATTTTTAACACCAAAAGCTCTAGGTGTTGCTGTCTGGATGTGTTCAGTAATAGAAATAGATTTTTGTCTCCTTTGCTTTTTTCATCAGTAGACCCTAAGATTCAAAAAGATAGCCATAAAATCTGGCTTAATTTCAGGTTTCTGGTTTGTGAAAACTTTTGACTGCAAAAAGAAAGCAGCCTCCAGATGACATGAAAAGCAAATCCTGCAGATTTTCTGCGAGCCAGAATTCAGAGATGTGTTTCCCCGCTCTGCAGACACTGGCAAGTGGCATTTCCAAAAATCGGTAGGGTCCTGGGGACCCCTGCAGCTGCTGTGTAGAAGTGAGAGGTCCGAGGCAGCTGGGTGTAACGTGCTGTGGTCTGCTGGCACCTGCTGCCTGCTCTGCTGCCTGCTGCAGGACTTGCCATTGCTGGGCTCCCACATCTCCATCGCTGCCCTCAATAGAAATGTATTTAGAGTCAGATAGCCCAGAAACCTGAAACTGCTGCGATTCTCAGTAGGGAAAAGTGCTCCTAGAAGTGGTCTTGGAGACCAGTGTCAAGGAATTGAATCCGAAATACAAACAGTATCCATGGGGGCACTCGGATGCTCTGACAAGGCAGTGATGTCCAAGAAGTCCCTGGCTCCAGTTTAAGGCCAAAAAGGGACAAATGAAGACCTAATAAGATTAACGTAAAAAGAAAACACAGATCACCAGAAGATACACAGAAAATGACCAGTCCAAAGCCCCAAGTTTATGACATATCCAGAGTGCAAATACAGACATAAAATTAGAACAGTCTAATAAACAGTTTGGTTTTGTCTCAAACAAAAGATCCATTGAGCCTAATATCCTGGTAACATTTTGGTTTGGGAAGGATGGAAGACTTAACCAATCATAGAAATGGATGCTTTTCTGACACCCATACTTCAAGGGTCCAGAGACACTTCAAAGCTTATGTATTTAATAAGTAAGAGGATATATTCACATAGCTGCTTTAATAAGTCTTCACAGATTTCATGACTTCTCAAAGGATGCAGATTCCTACAAGATCCAGGCAGAAAACTGCTGGACAATTTCAGTCACATGATTTCAGTTTTTAGGACTCCTGTATCATTACTATTTGTTCCTAGATATTTGTTTTGTTGAATTTTTAGAGACTTAATTTGAGACAATTTCTCCAGCTTTTCCCCATGAAGAAATTTTCTGGTGTGGGGATATCCCTCAGCCATTGAATTACCGCAGTGTTCACTATTCAAAATTTTTCCTATTTTTCCCCCTCCTCTTTTGCTATGGCCTTATCTTGCACCCTAATCACTTCTTGGACTGACAAACTTTCTGACATCTTTTTCTTCTTCTGCTGTGTTAGTTTTCATATTTCCATCAAACTGTTTCACCAGATCTTTCTGGCTTGTCTTATTATAGTTTCAAGTTTAACTTGCTCGAACTTGTGTTCTTTTCTAGCTTCCTAATCTTGACAGTTTTTGAAGGATGTCTTTTGATAGTTTCCTTTATCTCATTGCTTAATCATGCCAAATATTTCTGGCCTCTCTTTTTTCATAGGTAATATGCACTTGGTCCAAGTCTTCCCTGTGATATCTTAAAAAAAAAAATCTCTTTATAGCTGATACCAAAGCAGGCAACGCTCTACCCATACGCCATGCACGATGAATGATTTTCTCAGTTCCACTGATACTTGGTCTGGTTTATCACGAACAGCAAGAAAGAAAGGTAAGTATCTTTGCTCAGTTAAGAGGAGAGGCGCCAAATAAGTACAACTGAAAGATACCTGTTACCTGTATAGCTGCCCCAGCCAAGTAATGGAGCTGCTGACCAGAAGAAAGCTGCTACCCAAATGAGAACCAGAGCCACCGTCATACTGCTGTTGCTGATGCAGTGACCTGCAATGGCATGGTTTAGTCAGAAAATAATATCTAGAAAGGCAAACATATGTCTGAAATCTAAATGCACTCCTATACCAACAGATAATAAGGACAATAGAGCTATTTAAAAAAATAGTAAGATAAAAAATGCGTATTCAGAGAAAAAGCTTAAATTTGAAAGCATCTGTCAGGCTTGTGTTCAAGACTATTTGTGAACAGTGGAAATGAATGGCTTTTAAGCAGGAGACAATGTGTTTGTTGAGTGCTGCAGAATTAGCAAATTCTACATTAGACTTATGTTTTACAATTTTGTAAAAAGCAGGAAACAGTTGTATGCTAAGGTTTACATAGAAACAAATAAGATAAGAAAATGCTCTGAATTTAGACTTATTCACTTCAAGGTTTTCCCTGTTAAAAAGGAGAAAATGCATTAGATGCTCAAACTACTTTAGCCGTTCAACACATTCAATACAATCTGTCCTGCTGTTGCCATACATTGTGGTTATTTCTTCGTTTACATGGGACATACTTATACATCGACCAATCTCTGTTCCTCAACATTTCTGTAATGTTATACTGGGTACTTGCTCAGATTTCCTCAAGAGGCAAACATAAATTATGCACACCTTCAGATGAACATGTGATACGGTTTTGCAAAAGAGAAGTGTGGGTTTTAAATATGACTTCATAATATGCAATGAATATAAGATGTAGAATACATCACAGCCAAATTGTAGCAGCTCCAACAGCAGTTTGTGTTGAAAATTAACTTCAACAAGTCTATCATTACAACAAACTGCAGAAGAACTTCCTGTGGAAAAAAGACTTCCCTGCAGAAGTTCTTTTCACGGCTAATACTACTCATGCTATTAGGGAGAAAAACTCATATGATGCATCCAGTGTATTTATGCATGCTTTATCTGCAGACGTTAATAGGCTCTTGCCTGAAAGATGGTGCAAGCCAGTCATAACAAAGGCATGAAACTTCATAATACATTATCTAAATATGGGTGAAAGGAAGACAAGGAAGAATTTGTGGAAGGTGTAGGTATAAAGAACAGAAATTACATAAGGGTCTCAGTGCAAGTCAAAGTTTTCAGCAGGCAGGAGGTCCAGGATGATTTCTGGAGCAAGGAAAGATTTCTACTGATCCTGTGAAAGGGAATGCCTGGGGTTAGTGTAGGGATGTAAAGAGGCATAAAGAGAAAGAGGTAGATGATGGCATATTTATATAGACTGGCTGATGAGGGCTTCACAGGGCAGGAAACGTGTGAAGGATTTCAGACCAGATTTGTACAGTGGGACACTTATATGCCTTTACGGAGGCATTTATACCAAAGGTTAATAAATAAAATGAAATTCAAAAAAACAGAGTGGTTAGTAAAAGGGTTCTAGCACTGGAGAGAGTAACGAGCAGTGGTTGTTTGAGATATTCAGGTTACAGATCAAATGGGCACTAGAGAAGGAAGAACTGTAGGTGCGAGGCTGTAGTGATGATGCTTTGCAGATCTGGGAGACAGGCAGGAGAAGGGGATTGTCTGGCCAGAGTTGGGTTATGGTCAGTTCTGGGGATGGTAGGAGTAATTTTCATCTCCTGTGGTGTGAAACTGTCCACTGAGGGGAGGCTGGAGAGGCATGTGGGGATGGCAGCCTGTGCAGTGCTACAAAAGCTGGAGGTAAGAAAGATGTGCAGACTGAATGCTCCCAGCGCCATCTAAAGCAGTCCATGATGCCTGCTGCGCACAAACCCTGGCAAAACACCCTGAAGAGTGAAAATGTTTGCATGTAGGACAGCCTTCCGAACCAAGGATCTTATCAACAATTGGAAACTTCCCTGACATCATCTCATAGAAGATGAAATTTGTTGCTTACAGTGAGATCCAGACAACGTGTGCATCACTTAGTTGCATTTTGGAGAATACAGAGGGTCAGCAGGACCTGTGGTATCTTTGGCAGAAGGGTGGATTTAACCCATGGTGACCAAAGTGTACTAGTAATAATTTGGCTTTTATTGAGGTTAACCCTGAAGGATTCTATGTAAACATGTTTGTAATGCAAGTGACTGCATTATGTTCTGGTTTCCAATGCATGTAATTTATATTTGATACAGCCTGTGACTGAAAAAAATGCAGATTTGCACCAGGTTCAATGAAGGCAGAACTGGACTTGCCTTTATTCCTTACCTCTCTCAGGATGGCAGCCCTTGATGTAGCGAGTCACACTGATTACTGTAAGGGTATTAATGCTAGCGAGGCCAAAGAGAAGCGTCAGGAAGCCATCAACCTGGAAAACAAAGCAGTGCAGGATGTTCTTTTACTGCAGACAGCTGAAGGGGAAAAGAACCACAGGGATTGCTCCTGTCGTTTTCATGTTAATGCTCTCAAAAGTTTTTCCAGAAACCCAACTAGCAGGGAAATCTAAAATGTCAGGTGCAGTTATCTTCTATAGGATCAGTGAGCAAGTAAATGTTCAAAAATTATATAAAAGTGCTCCATCATGTACATAAAATAAACAAGCAAACACACCCTTACATCTATGCTTCCCTGAAATGACTTGCCAAATGAAGGAGAAAAAGATTGAACTGAAAAGAAGAAAAGCCCTGAATAGGCAAAAATGCACTGGATGCAGCTGCACCCTTAAGCAGAAAAAACAGGCAAATTCAACCCATGAAATTTAGGCCAAAGAGGGAAGAACATAGGAGGTAATGGTAATTTTTAAAAAATTAAATAAAACTATCCAAAGCTAAATCGTTCCAATAGATCGAGTCCTCAATGTTGGTGCTACTGATTGCCTGCTGTTTATTAAGCCCTGATCCTCACCACCTCTGACTGACGCAGGCAGAGGCGTATGGCTGCGTAGGCTCCTGCTGACGTCAGGGTCTCAGTGATATACGCACAGGACGGTTGCAACTCTGCTAGCTTCACTTATGGGTATAGGAAGGAAGTTGCTGCTGACGGTAGTGGAGATGGCTGTGGCCATCTGCTAGGGAGCACTATATGACTGGGAAATGGTCCAGGCAAAATGCTGAAGGCAGGCTTTTTTTTGAAAGCTTGCAATGATACACCAAACCGGCCAGAGCAGAGGAGCTCTTGAAGGTGCCAGTTTTACACCGAGTGGAGCAGGATTATTAAGCGTCTCTGGACTGTAACTTGGCATTCAAGTGGTAAAATTATTGGCGGAAAGGCACATCATTATTTTACAGGAACAAACTCTGTCTTTGTGTGAATGGGCACAACTCCTGTGGAATTCAGTTTATCCCAGCACTGAATCTGGGGCTTTAATCCAGGCTTAAAGCTGAGACCATGGCAGATTGTATAAATTAAATTGGGTGAAGGGTTAGGAAAGGACTGCTTCATCATTTTTTTCACTGGTGTTTTTTCTTGCTACCAACACCCTTATATTGACTCTCTATACTTCTTAATGCCAACTTTTACAGACCCACCACATTTTAAATGCATGCAAGACTTGCTACTACAACAATTTACATCCACCTGTGCTCCACTTACAATCAGCTCATGCTTGGTGTATAAATGCAGCCATGTTTACACCAGAAAACAAACTTCCTTGGATGTCTCAGCTACTTGCTAGAAGCTGCACTTGGCTGAATTTGGCTCGCTGTGTGCTGTGGCAACTGGTGAAATACCTGGATGTGCAAATGTGCTCCTCATTTCATTAGCCTTATTGATGCAAACAGCTGCCACTTCTCCATTTGCTCTAACAAAGCTTCATAGGTGTGGAAAACAGCGTGGCCAAGGACTACGGAGAAATCTGGCTGCATAAGCTTAAGCAATTGCTTTAGTTATAAGATTACAAAGGAAGCAGTATTTCAGCAATGATGCAAATAAACAATTTGAATTTAAGTCTAAAGACCTATGAGATTGAACACTAAAATAGTAGGACAAGCTTCTCAGTGTGTATCATAGCCCTCCTGTGCTGAAACTGTTTTTCCTGAAATACATTGGTGCATGTTTTATCACCTGCAGATGTGACTATTATTCTCCCATCCCCCTTCCCTGACGTCAGACCAGAGAGACACAATTGTATTAAGTGATCAGTTCAAACAGCCCTTGAGCACACTTACAAGGGATGAAAGTGTGTCTAAAAATACACCCTTGCCCTTTACCATTTAAGATGAAACTCTGTCACCATACAAAAGAACTAGAAATACATACCAAAGAAAGCTAGAATGTTTTCTTTGGAGTGGTGCCTTGCTAAAAAAAAATGCAGTTTTACCTAAATCAACATAGTGCATAGGACTGAACCATTGTCAGCGCCATGTCTCGTTTTTGTACTATTTCATAACATCATTTCAGCAGATCAAAACACTGTTGCTTCTGCTAGTGTGGGGGCTGTTATCAGAGATTTGACCAGGATCATATGGTTAGTAAGTGGCTAAAGCGGCAGCAGTCTCCCAGGGGCGGCTGTGCTAACTGTCCCTGTGCTAGCCACAGGCTCAGCGGTTTAAGAACAGGCTGAAATGCCAAGGAGGAGAGGGAGCTCTGGGGATGACAAGAGTGCCAGGATGAAACGAATGAAGGAGATAAATGAGGTCGCTCTCAAGCGGCAGAACAGCCCATGCAGAGGCCACGGCATCTGGAACATTAAAACACAAGAGAGCATCCAACAGGGTTAGGGCTGCTTTGGCAAACTAGTATTGGCCCTGCCAAACTTCTATTGGCGACAAGTTAGCTCTTGAGCCTAGCTGTGCATACGCCATTTCCCAGCAAGTCTATCAGTTCTGCAATACTTTTATATTCCTGTCACTTAGCCATATGTCTTCGGAAGAAAACGAGGGATCTTACTCTAGCTGTAGCCAACCTACTTCAAGCATACACCTACTGGATATGGAAGAAAGATCACTGCTACTTTTTCTGCTCCTGAACAGACAACACTGACTGTAGTTCACACAACCAAAGTGACTGTTTGGAACCCAAAGTAGTCAGCAACAGAAAAACTGCTTTAGCATAATCCTGACTTCTATAGGCAGAGATATTAATATATGTAGGTAACAAAAATGTATGATATTCTCAGTTTTCTGCATCTTTGAAGATACATGGAATGACAGCCAAGGAAATACTAGAATAGTAGATAACATTTAATTGCTTTGGAAGATTGATGCTCTTCCCCTTCTTGGGTTCTGGTTTTCTTTTTCTTTTATCCTACCCCCCTCAGCCAGCTCCTTCCTTCCACAATCATAATATTTCCTCCATTTTTGTGTAATGCAATTTTGTCCTTCCTATTATTAATTACGATCAAATAGCAGCAGTGCTAATAGGCAACAGTGAATTCTGACATAAACATGAAGTTGATTGCATGGTAATTTTGATCCACCACCTTTCCTTTTTACCCATTAAGAAACAGGAGTAGATTAGCAGTTTTAAAAGCTTTTCCCTCAGTGCTATACCAATATTAGTCCCTTGGCTACATAGATACTCACAGAACTTGCTCATTATCTTTATGTTGCCTGGAAGCTAAGACACAACTGAAGAAAAGGCTGTGTTTTTTCTGCTTTGTACTTATGCCTGATTTTAAATCTCACTAATGTTCTTGGTGTACTATTTACAACCCACAATACATAAAGCTCCTACTGCATGCAAATCTGTTTCTTAAGCTTTGTTTCCACACGGGGAGAGTCAGGAATCCCCAATGCACTATCAAATTTTTAGCTATGAGCTTGGGTGTGCCCCACTTTTACTACCTTTAATACTTATGAATTCATACTACTTCATAAGGGTTGTCTTCATTTAAAGCAGAATAAAATATAACCTATTGTTCTTATTTTTGGATTAATCAGGGTTTAATGGCACAAAAGCAAATTGCCAAAATTCAATTTCAATTTAGGCCGAAACATTGATCTCACCAGCCAGAAAGGCTGCATCGCTCCCTCCTCTGGCCAACTGGTGAATCTGTTGCAATTTCCTGAAGTCCATTTGTTTTCCCTTCAGAAGCACAATTTCTCTTCTATTAAATATGAGATAATTAATATGTAAGGAAAAAGATAAACTTTAAACAGGGATTATTTGTCCATTGCATATATTTAAAGTCGTCACAATAAGCTCAGAATATTTTTTTTGAATGCAGATCAGATTATTCCAAGATCATAGTGTAAATAGATAATGGCAATAAATCTCCTTCAACCTCAAGAGACAAAAAAGCACCTAAATCATTCTTTAAGAAATACATTTGGAAAAACAATTGTAGGTACCTTTGAACAGAGTATGTTTTAAAATTTAACAAGTTCTTAAAGTTTGCAGTAAGTGAGAAAATATTCCACTCCAGTCTGATGACAACATAATGTCACCATCCCTCCAATGTATCAATAAAGTGTGAACTGGACTATAGTAACTCTTCTGTCAAATGGAGGAACTACCAAGGTTCGTAATCAAAACCAGTCTTCACAGGTGACTACTTAAAACTCCCAATGCACAGTGTTCCTAAAGCACTCAAATTGTTTCTTTAAGATTTACTACAATACAGGAAGGCAAAGAGACTTATTTACCAGAGTTTCCACAACGTCTGTTGCTCATGCAACATTTCTCTGCAATGGTTGCATTCTGTTTTTTAAAATGTCTCAGCAGGCTTCAAGGGTAGCTCTTCTTAGAGGTGATCGCATTAACCCAAGCCATTATAGACCTCTGACACAAACAGCACTTCATTTACTAATAAACAATGAGAACTGATATGCTACAGGATTAGGTAGTTTAAACCATTAAGTGAGAGCATCAGACACTCAGTATTTTGCATTCACCAAGTGATTAAGCCTTTCTGTTGATGATATATATTTTAAAGATAGGAAAAATATGAATGCAATATTTAGGCTACACAATTATGTGCACAAATATGTAATTATACTAACTATAGTATATAGTTAAATGTACATTTAGTGTCAGAGATTAATATATGCAGGTCAGGTTTTTGCTTTAGTAATGTTAGGGAATCCAGAATAAATCTACTTGTTTGCTTGTAGTTATTTTAGGTTTATATACTGGGTTAACAAAATGAGATTCAACATATACTTACTTTGGGCTGACTTTTAGCTATTGGAGTTGTAGCCCTCTCAGGTCACAATTTATACTCATAGTAGTACATGCCCCTCTCAAGGAGCACAGTTATCAATGTAACAGCCCCACCAAGTGCACATCATTGAACAAATAGACAGAAATTTCTTTCAGAATTTCCTTACACAGCCTCATCAGATTATAACCTTACTTCAAGTACCCCATCTCCACATGCTTGGGAGCACCTGCTCTGGGTTGATGCCATGGGACCATGGCAGGTTTCAT